ATTGTTAATTTGTCGGATGCGGTGAAAAATGGCGCTGTTTCGTTATCGTCGGACAATGCCGAGGCACAAGTCATGGTCATCCATGCAGGTGCTGCATATTTGTGTAACTGTACTTCTAGAAATACTGTGAGAAGAATTAAAATGCACCAATTGTTCGTATTTGGGCTTTGTTGATAACCAGCGGATTTTCTGGATCTGTTAATCTGATTACCGCATGATTGTGGCATGAAAGTAATATGAAGAACGCAGAAAGGAAGGCAAGAATAGAACGAACTATGTAATGCAAGAGGAAGAAATATTACTGGTGCAGGGAAGATAAGTACGAGAGAGTTAAGGCGTTTCGGTCCATGAAGTCATATACGTCTTAGCTCAACATCGCGACTGGACCTCGTAATGTTATTTTGGAGAGGGAAGTAATTGGCTGCTCAACAGTATTAAGGGATGAAATTTCTCATTTTATTGACGTTCAGAATATCGAGCTTAGAAATGTCGTGGTGATGTGAAGGCCTGGACGATGACAGAAGAGTTATCGCTTATGTCATTACGGAACTTCAGTGGGTAACAGTGTAAACTGGGTCGCTTAGAGCTGCAAGTTAATTGTTGGTTGAGGAATCTGAATAACTCTAGCTTTGATGCTGATAGTGTGGTGCGTAATTTAAACAAATCAATGAAAATGGCTGGAAAATTTGCAGTGCGTGATGTGGCAGCCGCTCTTTCGAATCTAATCCAAGCAACGAAGAATGCATCGGGTCGCTCACTGCACGATCCGGCAATGGGACATCTCAAAGAAGCAGCCAAGGTGAGGCCAGTTGTCACTGCTAAGATTTCCTTCTGCTCTTTGGGACGAATTGATAGGAAATCTGGCATAGCTGTATAGCTGCAATTAGGATGTTCGTAATGATAGTTTGTAATTTAGCTGTCTTTTTTTGCTAAGAATTTTCCTTCGAAGTTAATTTTCAAGAGCCGTTTAAATTTGTTAAGAGTCACAGCTAGTCTGGAAAATTCCAGGCTATTTTTCTGTACCTCTCTTTTGTTTGCGCAGTGCTGCTTCAGTTTAGAACGGTGATTTTATCGAATCCCGCTAATCAATAATCCGAAATTAGAATGTGAGGAGTCAGCTAATTTACTAAGTCTATTAATTATTCGTTTCGCTGGCAGATCCCTTATCTCGTAATATATCAAGCTGTTTTAAGGCTTCTGTCAGAGCCACATTCAGACTGAACCATCATTATCCAGTCCAGTATTCTGCAGGTTTAGAATGTTATTCCGAGGTCCCTCCTTCTCTCTTTTCTGGAGAGTGGGCTGACTGTCTGGGTAGATGTAACTAGGGTTCCGGCACTTTTGTGCGAGCTAAATGTTGATAGTGCTCGCTTCGTGTATTTGTACCTTTGGCATATTTTTGCAAACGCGAAAATGTGTATTGGCAAGACGTTGTCTGTTTGTATGTATGTGTTCGTATTTTGTCACCTATTTTGAATTCGGCGACCAGAGAAGCTTGTAGGCTAAAAATTTTAGAACATGCTTCCATCCCATTGCGATTTTCCCGTTTTAATACTGTCATGCGCATGTGCTTGGGTCTTACGTTTGGGCGCCTAAAAGCATGTAAATTTTTTGACGGGAAAGCGATTTCGAAAACTAGACTATGTTGGAACCTGAAGTCCCGCAGGGATGTTCCATGTTCTTGTTTAATTTAAGGATTTCAAATACTGCTTTAATTTCCGACTAGGCATCATTGGCAAAATGACAGACTGTAAACTAAAGTTACTAATGCGAAATTAAAGCGCTCTAACTTTGAGAATATTTATTTTTCGTACATAGACATGTAGACCTACCATGGGCTTTAATTTCTACCGTGTCACTTGTTCGGACGCGTTAGAGACCTTTGTAACGAAAGTTGATTTCGCCAACCAGTCATGTTAGGGAGCTGAAACGTTGTAAAGATATTCTAGAACAGTATGCGATTTTGAAGTCATCGGAAAACCCAGGCTGGCGCACCGGGCGGGCCCGTGCGATTATGCGTTTTTGCACCGAACTTTAATTACTCAGGTCATTAACTGTATGAATGGCTGTTGCTTTACACCTGCCTTTTGCGGTCTCTAGCATAAACCACCATAAATTCAGCAAAGTAATACATTATTTCCATTTAACAGTCGTTCCTTAAAAGTAACCTAGTTGTTCAGTGAGAAATTTTTCCGTCCAGACCTTTAAGTGTCCATACGTAAAAACAATGCATAACTCAAGGTTGAATTTGAAATACTTAAGTTGTACTTGGGCAGGGAACTTCCTCTAAAACTTCAACTTTCTAGCTTTTCTGGTTCTCGAATTAAAATTTTCCCGCCAAAACCTTCTCATACCCGTGCATGGGTACTCTACGTACCTGGAAAGCTGAATTTGAAATTTCTAAATTGCACGTGGACAGGGAGCATCCCCTTAAAAATTCAGCCTTCCAGTTTTCCTGGTTACCGAGTTAGCAATTTTCCCGCCGAAACCTTCACATACCCGTACTTCGGTACTTCTTGTACTTGAAAAGCTGAATTTGACATTTTTAAATTGCAAGTGGACAGGGAACATCTGCCTGAAATTTCAGCCTTCCAGCTTTTCTGGTTGCCGAGTTAGTAATTTTCCTCCAAAAACTTTCATATGCCCTTACGTGAGTACCATGCACAGCTTGGGGCTTAGTTTGAATTATGTTTGAGTTGCAGTTGAATAGGAAACACTCCTCCAAAATTTCAGCTTTCTAGCTTTACTGGTACCCCAGTTAGCAATTTCTCCTCTAAAACTTTCATACGCTCTTAGTTGAGTACCACGTAGGGGACTGAATCTGAAATCTTTAACTAGTACATGTACAGGGAATATCCCTACAAATTTTCAGCCTTTCAGCTCATGTGGTTCCCGAGATGGCTTTCCCGCCAAAAAATTTGCATATTTTTTTAAAGCATCCATACGCGGCACCTAGGCGTCCGAGGGGGATCAAATTAAAACGGGAGGGTCGCGCACGGTATGGGCACATATCCGCAAAGTTTCAGCTTTCTATCTTTTCTGGGTCTCGAGTTGAAAGTGGGTGACAAAAGTGCGAACACACACACACACACAGGCAGTCTCTTTCCAATATGCGTTTTTGCATTTTACATATATGT